AGACTTGCCACGGTCTCCAACCCTCCTCCTTTCTCATCCGGGCTTGGGACCGGCCATGGCGGAGTTGACCCAAACATAATTCTTCCATATCATGTATATCCAGCGATGCGGCAATATGCATGTCGTTACTCTGGGGTAGAAGTTGAGCTTTAGGTTAGGTGATTACAGATATTGTTGTTGATTGTTATAGTCATCTTTACCATCCTTGCAAACCTTCAGGCTGCTTAAGACTGGTGATATCCGTCTTTCTCCACTTATCCTATTTGCGTATTAAGAGATATTAACTACGTAATCGAAGGAAAGATTCCTCATCGACAGCAGATCTCCGTTTAACTGTCTCTGCCATATGATATGCTTGCCACAGCTCTCTCGCCGTCCATGTTTGGGTTTCCACGTAGGCAGCTGATGAATCATCGAGCCTTCATTGCATCGATAGAAATGATCGAACCAAGCCAACCGTTTGTCTCTCAATACCTAGTCGATGAGGTCGGCTAGTGCAAAGACAAGCTGTATTTATTTACATTACTACTTGGTTTTTAGCAGCCAGCGCAATTGGCGCTGTGGCAGGCTGTGCAGTCGATGCGCCTGCAGTTTTGTGAGTGCAACCGTTTCCTGTCCGTAGCGCGAGAGAGCTGGATCTTGGTGGTTACTGCTATTCGTCTTTGATTGCAAACGTTCACATGACTCTTGAAAATGAGCGGTGTTAGCCAAATCCTTCTGTTCCGGATCTGTTCACAGTTCCCATCCGTCGATAGGATTTTACCCAGATATTTGAACTGCGACACTTCTTCGATGGTACTGTTTCCATGGGCATCTTCGGTTTCCACGATACCTTCTGGGTTCCTCATCACTTCTGTCTTCACAGAGTTCAGCTGGATGCCTGCTTTCGCTGCAGTTTTGCATGTACATCTATATTTAGAGAACAGATACAGCAAATCGCTTTCGCCCAGTAAGATACTGTCATTACCATAGTCCAAGCCAGTCGATTATTTCGATGGTCAGATTGCGCATGGCAGAATCAGGAAGGACTCGGTTTCTCTCCCAACGAATGAAAGGTTTCGGAAATTGCGTCTTGTACATGTTTCATTGTTAATCATTGCACACAGACATGCAGGGATCGTTTCTGTTTTTCAACACTAACCAGAAGAATTTCGCAACCGTTCCTGAAGACCAAGCTGCAAACGGTAAGGAGTTTATCTCAATTTTTCCCATAAATCTGCCACCTTATTCCTCCAGATACATCGCTTACTGCTCGCAGATGGCAGACAATGAATGTGATTACTTGAAGGATATTGAACTGAAATATGATTTTAGCAGCGAGTGTTCGCAGCCGTTGAAGCTGGAGGAGCTGGAGCAATTTGCAAGAAATTTCAAGCTAAAACGGACCAGACTCGGTAAGTATCGACTATGCAATATGTACCTTCAGCGTGATATAAATTAACGATTATTAACTCAATCAAATTTCAGTGCCGATGCGTCCTGTTGCATGAAAAGATAATGGAGATTAAGGCTTTTACATCTGTCTAACGATGTGTCTATAAATGCTGAATTCATGCAATTTATAGAACTGATAAAAGTAATGAAAAATCTGATAAAAGTGATGAAGTTTTTATTGGTTAAGAATACTTTAAACTGTTCAAAATAAACTAAATTATTGTGAAGTGTTTCAGTGGTTGACTAAATTCGAATCAAATAACTTATTTCAGTTTAAAGATTCCCTCTTCGGTACGATATTGTATGTTGTATATTGTATTCTTTTAATATTGTGTCTGATTATTACTGTCTGTAGACAACCAAAAAATATTTCGGTATTTGCAGTTCCTAAGCCGTTATTTGTTAATATTCCTCTTAATTCCGCCAAAATTAGTTTGTGCGATATGTTACACTGTTCCGTTTCTCCCTCTTATGGGCGTGTCATTTGAACAGGTCATTTACATGGCATGCAAGTATCTGCAACGCATAAAGCGTCGTGCATCATTCCTTGAATTAAACAACAGCTTGTGTCCAACGAAGTTTCAGACACAGAGAAGTTCATATGCATTCTTGTAACGTAGTGAATGTGACTTCATATCACGAACTATGTTAATAAGTGTTTGATTCCTCTAAACCATAAGAAGTTGGAAACAGTTGCTTGTGCAGTGTGTCGGAAAGTCTAGTTTTATAGAATTATGCCGTTGTGTCTACTCATTTTTGACAGCTGTCCGCACTACTGACACGGAAGTCAGAAAAGAACTTCCTGGTAAACTCGTAAGATTCAGCTAGCTGTTACTGAGAAAAAGCCTGCATTCAAAAGATGAATTCGAAGCATAGAACCTTCAACTACAATAAAGTATGAAGAAGCACTCACGGCATCACCGATGACACTAGCTAAAGCGAAAGCGATTCCTGGAAAAAGGTCAATAATGTGATGGTGTCCAATTTCCAGATGGCAAACATGGCATTCTGGTAAACCAGCCGCCGCCTTGCGAGGTGAAAAGAAGGGCGGTCTAAAAGACCTGAAGGATAAATCCGGACACCCTGCCACAGAAGATGAGGACCGGCATTATTCGGCGACGTTGAAAGTACTTTGAGGAACCCCTTAGCACCGAACAACCGCATGAAATTGGCTGAATATCAACAGGCAACGGATATTGGTAATCTCTTTTACGAAGTCAGAAAAGCGGTTAAAGTCTCGACAAGTAACAAATTAGGGATTCGATTACATTCGCCCTAATTTGCTTAAAGCT